AAACAAGAAACAGAGCAACGTACCAGACATAATAAAATATCTGGCGCTGGATTTAGATTCAGCGCTAGAACCGTTGGAATTTTCTGGCTATTGTGATGAACAGGAAGAAGCAAGTTAGAAATGATGAAAAGATGAGAGAGAGAGTTTGTTTTTCAAGTAGCCGTTCAAAGAAGCTTTTCCAGATTTAAATTAGAATGCGTAGACGGAGATGGGCGACGAATTTACTGAGCCATATTAAACTAGCCGTTGCTTGGGATTTTATTGGGCCGAAAAATTACAGATGGGATTCAGCCCAATTCAAATAATTCCGATTTGTCAATCCAACTTTCAGTTTGGGCCTAAAGCCCATAATAATATTTCACCAATTTTCCGTTTTATTATTATTTATTATTATTTTTTTAATCTAGGTGCCTTAGAAGTGAGCACCAACTCACTCTTAATTCAAATTAAATTCCATTATGAATTTTATATGGCAACATTCTAAAAATTAGACCAATTTTCTTTTATTAAAAAAATAACAATAAAATTTAAATTCGAGCATCTTCCAAACATTTCAAAATAATTCTAAAACTATGATTTATTTGAAGTGTAATATGAGATCTCACATCGGTTCGAGAGAGGAATAAATTTTTTTTTATAAGAGTGTGGAAACTTTTCCTTGGTAGATGCGTCTTAAAATCGTGAGGTTCATGTAATTGGCTAAAACGGATAATATCTACTAGTGGTAACCTAAAGCTGCTACAAAATACATAGATATGAGTTGTTAAAACCGTGAGGCTAATAATGAGCTAGAGAAAATAATACCTACTAGCGATGGAATTTGGCTGTTATAAATGTTATCATAGCCAAGTCCTAAGTGGTGTACCAGCGAGGACGCTAGGGCTCCAAGAGGGTGTATTATGAGGTCTCATATCAGTTGGAGAGATAAATAAAACATTTATTAGGAAGGTGTTGAAACCTCTATATGTGTTTTAAAAACTTTGTGGGGAAGTTCGAAAGGAAATGATCAAAGAAGACAATATACCCATTTTAAAAATTTTGTGGATAAGTCCGAAAGAGAAAGACAAAAAAATGACAATATCAGCTAACAGTGGGGTTAGACAGTTACACATTTAGTGTTGAAATTAATTAAGTTACAAATATTAGTTATAAGAAATAATATTTATACCTATATTTAAAATAATATACAAATTGTAAATGTTTGAAGGAGACAAAAAGATGAAAAGCTTTGACAAAATACAGAGGTAAAGTGATGTACATAATTATAACGTGGAAAATAATTTAATTATTTTATTTATTTATTATTATAAAAAAAAAGATATTTCTATTGAAGAGTTCAACATTGGATGCTGATTGGTGAAAATAATTATTAACTTTGATTTCTCTTTCATCTAAGACTTTTTTATTTTATTATTATTATTTATTTTGGAACATAATTTATAAAAAAATATTTTGATAAGAATTGAGATTCTCAACACTTTTTAAGTAATAAATATTATTTCAATTAAAAAAAAGTAATTTTAGTTAATTAATAATTGACTTATACTCTTTAATTTTTTTAGATTATTATATTTCAATTTGCATACTTTATATTTATAATACCAAAAAAAAAAAAAAAAAAAAAAAAC